ATAGCCGATGAGCCTGAAACAACGGTTCAGATCTCTTTGTGTCATTTTAAGAATAATTTTGAGAGAGATATTGTGTTGGATAAGTATCGATCTGCGAAGGTCACACAGTTCAACCGTTGGAAGTGGCTTCCTATTGTCCGCCGCTTATGCTTTGGCGTTGTAGAGCCAACGCTCAAAGAATTGCATGGCAGCTGGAATTTCAACGTTCCCAAGAAGACGAAGGTGATTGGCTGTTTGTTTCTGGAAATGCCGGATCGATCAGGAATTAGAATCTGGCTGGACGGCATCAGCGGCGAGGAGGCGGAGCAACCGTTATTCAATTTTCAGTTTCACTTGGTCAGACCATGGGTGACTATGGAACTTCTGACCCGAGGAACGTTTCACGGACCAGATTATTACTTACCGGATTCACCGTCATCATCGGATTTTCTTCTTGACGTAGACGAGATTGATGGAGAAGTTGTTGCAGATGGACCCAGCAATCAACAAAATGGAGGAGCAACAGGGCCCAACGGATCCAAGCCCTAACTTGAACAGCAACTGGTTTTGATTATTTTATTATGGCATACCATTCATGCTCTCGCAGTGTATTCGCATTGTGTGTGTTATTTCACTTAAGCTGTACGACAAAATACCTTTGAAAGATGTGGTTTTTCCATTAATCAAGTTCTTGTTTGTGGAAAGTCGTCGTCTGTTGGGGTTTCCCCCTGATAAAAAGAATGGAGACTAATGTATCTGATGTATTTTATCATGCTTTATCTTTTCTTATATCTGGCAGTTCTGGGTCTGGTAAATCTACCTTTGTAGCTAATCTTCTGCGTCACAATAAAATCTATCCTAAACCTGCGCGTGTTTTCTGGTTCTATAAGCAGTATCAGTCACTATATGATCAACTTTTGAACGAACAACATCCCATTGAATTTATTGAAAGTTTACCGGAGGAAATTTCTAATGCCAAGTTTCTTGATAAGCAGTACAACAACTTATGTGTTATTGATGACTTGCATTTAGAACAGAACACTAGCAAGCACGTCGCAACGTTGTTCTGTAATGGGGGCCGTCATTCAAACACTTCTGTAATTTATCTGACACAGAACTTGTATTTCAAACAATCGTTTGGACGGGATATTCGACTAAACGCCAAAGTCATTGTGAGTTTTAAAAATCCACAAGACAAACAGCAGTTACAGACGTTAGGCCGCCAAATTTTTCCCAACCGTTTGAACTACTTTATGGACGCCGTTAATAAATGCTTTGATCGACCATATGGTTATATTGTTGTTGACCTTCAGCAATCAACGGACGACCGTTACAGACTTCGTACTGCCATATTTGGAGAGAACAAAGCGAAAGCAATAGAAATTTTCATACCAGCGTAATGGAGAAGAGCAAAACCGTTGCCCATCTGGACTTGCTGACAGCCGTTGCGAACAGCAAGCCCAAGCTGGCTAAAGCTTTTGTTAAAAATTCTGAGGACACATTGATTGATGCGATCACTGAGTGCGCATTGCAAATTGTCAGTGGAACTGTTCCTGTTACTGAACCGAGCAAAGCTGGACGAGTTAAAAAGATTATGCCATATATCAAGATTTTAGCAAAGAAAAGCATCTCAAAAAAGCATAAGCGAAATTTCCTTGTTCAAAAAGGCTTTGCTATATTATCCCTCATTGTTCCTCCTGTAATATCATACGTATTGGGACGTGTTTAAGATGGCTCGACGAATGTTTTTGATTAACGAAGACCAAATGCGGACTTTACGGCCGCCGACCCCTCCGCCTAGCATGCGTCCGTTTGCGTCCACCTCGAGGCACTTGGACAGGTATGCCCAACCATTACATGATGCTGAGTCGCACCTACATCACGTACTCCATAATCCAGCACTTACCACTGGACAAAAGTTAGTGACGTACGATAACGCCATGGACCGTTATCAAGGACTAGTCAGTCAAGCGCAGGGGCCTGTTTTACATCTAACGCCAAGCCCGAAACCTATGGATGAAGTTGATTCTCCCACCACGGCCAAAATTTCGGACTATATGCGAAAGACCCAGAAGAAAGCGGCTGAAGCACTGCTCAAGTTTCTCACAGATCACACTCGAATCGGTATATCTGCACGCCATGAGCCAGTCATCAATGGGACTTTAATACCTGATGCTAATATTGTGGACCTTATAAAATGGGCTACAGCTACCAACAACCCAGGACAAGGATCAAGATCGCAAGGCTTAGATATGTTTTTAAATGAACTGCGCAAAGTGCACGTCCCTACAAGCCTGTTTCCTAATACTAAGCGTCGTGAAGTATTTTTAGATATTGTACCTAGCTCATCTACTACTGTAACACCGACAAAAAGTTGGGCAACATGAATTTAATAAAATTGAAGAACTTTGTACATTGGCTGAGCGCACTGATTACATTTCACACAACATTTCAAACACTGACGTGGATTTGAACAAACACGTAGACATTTACGAGCGAATTCACGCAACAGCCTGTCATTCTTACCTAGATTTTTCGGGTAATGAAATTTTTGAATTACTGCATTCAGTGACAAACCACGGAAAGCAAAGTGCAAGTAGAAAATACAGAACATACCACACATATTAGAGTTATAGTCTTGCACTTGGATTCGATTTTCTTCGTGATATCCCATTGTCCAAGGGAACATGTCACACAGAAAAGCGGTCGATTTCAATACCGTAAAACAGAGCTGATTTTGCAAATGAATCGAAAAAGCAAACTCTGCCCCTGGTATTAACAAAGACAGCTAACCAGAGACTTCCCGGTTGGTCGTGTTTGTCCGTATTGATGATGAGTCCCAAAGGAAGCTTAGGGTTCTTTAAGACCGGCAATCGGTCTCTCGGGTATACACCGAGGAACCGAACCATGGGATTTCGCTGCGCCTCGTGTTTCATAATGTCCAGTATCTGTATTGCTTCCATTCTATAGACGTTTGTATGGGCAGAAAATGTTTCTCCGGGAATCAATTTCAATAAGCCCGTTTCGGTTGTGATATATTAGAACCGAATATGTGGCGGTTGCTGCAGTCGTAAACGTACATGAGAGACCTAGGACACCTTTTTTCGTTGGGTTCACGCAAGAGCCGTCTCCAACATCTGGTTCCAAATTAAAACCAAGTACAGCGTATCCTAACGGCCAGTCGGCGGTAACAAATAACAAACTTGAGTTCTCAAACAACATTCCGCTAGTTTCTAACAAGCTGAGGTATCCATCTCTGTAATTTCCGGCTGTTGGTGTTAGTTGTAGCGGTTTACTGGGAATAGGTTCAGAATTCACGTACGTAACAATCTGATTTATAGTTAGGTGAGGGAACTTGTATGGGTTCTTTGTAAAATTCCCGGCAATGGCTTTAGAGTCAACAAATGCCACAAGCATCTTTTTCGGAATAACACCACGAAAAAGGTCGTCACGTGACCACAGAGTACTTCCTTGTGGTATTGTAAGTTCTAAGAGGCCAGACTCAACAAACGGTATTACAGCATTTCTTTTTTGCAAAAGCATTTCATGAGCCAGTAAAAATTCCGGATCCAATTTCACTTTCTTTATCTTTAAAACCGCATTCTCAATTTTAATTTTAAGATCGGCAGCATCGTCGGAAGCCATTAAAGCAAAATGATCCCGAGATCGTGTAAGGGACAGTTTAATATCAATTTTAGGTGGAATAAGAAGCGGCTGGTTGGCAACGTCGCTAGGAAACTTACAAACCATGTGCCATATACTTCCGTCCTGAACATACTTTCTTCGTGCTTAGTATCCCTTATTTAAAATATCATTATTCGGATTCGGATTTGGTAGAGTAAGTAGTGTCGTATCATGGGCGCTAGCAGTGTCGAAAATAAAACCATATTGTCGCATCTGGTCTTTCGCTTCGCTTCCATAGTTCAACAAATGCTCAAAAAACGCACCATAGTGCGAGAGTGTAGGTATAGTAGATACTGGTTCATTATTAAATAGTAATTCATGGCCGGAGAAGAGGCTTCTGGAAAATAAGTTGACAGGTCCAAAAGCTGTTGCTGCAAGCGGGTTTGTCCCGTCCGCCCTTTTCACGGTGACATCTAGTAAACGTTCGCTGTGAGCTAGGTCCACAGCTTCGTCGGGCGTGCTGTTGATTTCCCATGTTATAGCATCGCTTGTAAGGTTGTTTCCAACAGGAGTGTATGAAATGTATCGAACGGACTGGATTACTGTTTGGGTTGGGGGCATAGACCAATGGTCTAGCTCCGACTTCAGGCACAAGGGTGAAAATGGATGAATTCCTTCCATGATGCTGTTTAGGATTTTCTTCTAAAAAACTTTGGCAGGCCAGAGAATCCGCGTTTGCGTGAGGCTTTTCGACAACGAGACTTTACCTTACGTCGACGACGAATCTTCGGTTTCAGAATGACTTGAAGCTTTCGAGTACGTCGCTTATGCCTTCGGCCGCGCTTGCGTCCACTTCCGCGTTGCATTTTTGTAGCAATATCGGTCATCGCCTCCACTGTTCTGTTCTGAGCAGTTGATTGTATCCGGTAGATGGCGCTGGATACTCTGGAGATAATAATTGCAGATATACCTGTGCAGGTATATGCGATGGTGCAACTTCGTCATCCATGGAGGAAGGTTTTTGGTCTCTCGCGGAAATTTAATTGCAAAATGGTTTGTCCAAGTTCGAATGATATTATATTTCCGTTCAGGTCTCGCAGTACAAAATCTAATCGGTCAAAATCACGTTTTGCAACATCCTTAAAAACTTGCATCGCAGAATATGAGCCTCCATTAGTAAGAGCTCGTGTTGGGGCGATTCCAAGAAGCGGTACATACTTATCATTAAGCAACTGACAGCGTACTAGATCCGCATACACACAAATGGTTGGCACGCTTTTTTTATATTTGATATTCGGGCATTGAATGTATGCAAGGGACACTTCCACGTCTCCGTTCAATTGAAACAATGTAGGTAAGTAGACTGTAAAATCGGACGCGGATCCCGATGGGTCCAAATGGATCCTAGCAAAATTCATGACTCTGCTCGTTTCAAAGGTTGCCTGATAGGGGCGTACATCGGCGATTGTGCCGGTGGGTTGTTCAAGCAAGGAAATCGCGATATCCAGCCAATCGCCTTTCCGACCGTTGTGGAAACATTGTCCTCCAAGAGTTGCTGGATGCCAAGTGACGTATCGTATTTGAGTGGGGCGGTAGCTCACTCACTCATTGACTGTCAAAAGTTTATCGATACACACGTTGCTCAGAATCTGGCCGACTGTTATTTCGAATTTCCAGAAAGACGAAAGTTTTTCACTACCGTTAAAGATGTGTTCTTCGCGTGGAAACTCAACGGAATCCAGCCAAAAACAGTGTATTTTCCGGCCGCCCAACAATTCCGTGGAACTGGCTCGTACGGAAACGGTGCCGCTGTTCGAGTGGCACCGTTGGTTCTGCATAACTATTATGATCTGGATTCTGCTCTGAAAGACGTGGATCAGAGTTCTCGTTTGACGCACGGCAATTTGCTTGCCGTTCGCGGGGCCAAGCTGCAGGCTTGCGCAATTTTTGAAGCTGTGCATTTGCAGCATCCAGACGCTGCTGGCTTTATTACGGCGCTCATCAGTTTCTGTGACAGTATGGAAGTCAATAATCAGTTCAAGTTTTACAGTAACCGTTTAAAGAAAGTGCAGAAGTTTTTGGCAGACTATACGGAACCGCAGGATGTAGTCAAAGCTCTGGGCAATGGAATTAAAGCGTTGGAAACTGTGCCGTTGGCGATCTATTGCGCTGTGCGTGCAATGCCACCAGTTGCCGGGATTCACACAGATAATCCTTTCGAACGAGCGATTATTTTGGCTATCTCGATGGGCGGAGACACGAACACTATCGCCAGTATGGCCGGAGCCATCACAGGGGCAGGGCTGGGAAATGAAAGGATTCCGGTCGTCATGAAGATGCCGTGTTACGATATTGAGGAACCTGAGGTTTTGGGTTCTGAGCTGGCTAAAGTGTTGCAAGACAGAATTGAAAAGTCTGTTGCGTTCAATAATTCTTGTCCGTATCGGTCTCATGAAAAACTTGTTCGCGCTACTTTGTCTTGAATTATGCATTCTTATTCTTGCTCATTCTATATCACGCTTGTTGTTTGTCTGATCAATATTCTAATAACGAATCACGAATCCATGGCCCGCGGTATTTAATAAAAATATTCATGCACACGGACTGTTGTTTGTATTTAGATCGAACACTCAGAGAACAACATAGGAAGAATAACAGCATCCCAGACCTCTGTGGGCTGGTCAGTACCAAACGGTAGTTGACATCCAAATTCCGTTTTTTCAATTTCACGCATTAAAAGATCAAGAGAAATCAAACGCATTCTAACTTTCTTGTGTCCTTGACGAATTTCGATGACAGGGTCATGGAGATCTTCGTCACAATGCGGTGGCAAGATTGTCAGTACAGTTGCCGATTTCCCTAGTAATGGTATATGCTGTGGGCCTTTCAGACGGGCATCAACTCTTTTTCGCATTGTTCTATCATCTTCCAAACGAATTAGCTGCGCTATCTCCAGTCGTCCTAACTTGATCCACTCCTTGGCAACATGCCGGTTGGAATCCGAATGTGAAATTATTGGCTGTAAATAGACTACGGGTTTATGTGGTTGCAAAAACGCTGCAACAGACTTCCCTAACCGATACCATTCAGTACCTTCGGACAAGGTACTAACATATTCAATGTATGGATACTCCATTTTTGCAAACTAAAAGTAGCGAAACAAATAAGATAGCCATTTCCGATGTTTTCGCATGATTTTAGTGTACAGACTCTTATTGGTCAGAAATCCACTATGGGTGTGGTCGTACACATGTACGCGTATGCGCTGGCCATCTCTTCTAATATCGACTATGTACTAGCCATCTCTTCTAACATGCACTGTCTTAGCGTACGCGCTACTACTACACACTATGGAGAGTGCTGAAGTGCTGTTTTTATTTTTTTTTGTTTTACTCTTTTAATTCTAACATCAAACAGGAATATAAATTCCTAGCAAAACTACGAATTTATATTTCTGTTTGATATTAGAATCTCTATCGGTGTGCCCGTTTGCGGAGATTTGCCCTGTGCTGAGGACGGACAGTGTAACGAAGGGGTTTACTAGAGCTAACCGTGCTGGTACACTGTATAGTCGATCGACTAGTTAGATGACTGTATGATGATTGTCTATCACAGTAACATACTGTGACTTATATAGCTAGACATAGAATATCAACAGACTAACATGTAGGTAGAAGAACTAAACAATCAGCTCAGCAGAATAGCTAAAGGCAAGAGTCACAGACATAATATGAATCACGTTACAACAGGTAGGAGATCGCGGGAACCCTGATGCACGGCAACAACACACAAGTACAATTCACAGTCGAAAATTCTGTTGGTTCTTCCATAATTTCCGATTGTGAATTGTACTTGCGCGTTGTGTCTTTTCCCTAACTTCGCCCCGAAATCCATCTAGGCCCGCGCGATTGAAATTCCCTGTTGATAACCAGAAGTCATAAGTTCTGGTTGTCAACAGCGAATTTTAATCGCGTGATGTGCCAGCCTGACGACGACCTCCGCGCGATACCACCTCGAAGACGGACATCTCCCTCAGCCGTAATCATGCATTCATGACCAAGATTTATGAGTTTGTGGCACAAATCATGGCCATGAATGAATGATTACGTGCTGTGCCCATGCGCTCCAGGTTTCCGGACTACGTCCCGATTTTTATTAGTATATATTAACTAATATTTTGATATTTCCATATTTTTCATTTTATTTTCTGTATTTACTGTGATATTTCTATGTTCTGTGATATTTATAGTTTTCTACGTTTTTCTATATTTATCTATAGTTTTCTAAGTTTTTCTAATATTTTCTATTTGTTTTTATTTATTTTGTATTTATTTTTTTTTATTTTTATTTAATCAAGATCCATATCCATGTGCGCGTGCACGCCAACTGCAGCAATGAACGCGTCTGCACTCTGAGAAACCTGGTGCAGCGGTGACATGCCCACGATGGCACGGCATAAAAAATTATAAAAGATATGCCGTTCGGCCTCCACGGCGTCGATCACTGCGTCCAGCTGCCGCAGTTGCTCCATCCGCTGAGCCAGCAGTTTGTGCAGCTCGGCGTAACGCGTGACTCCCGCTTTGGCCCCCTTCGTGTTCCGCGCGGTCTTCTGTGCGCTTGCCAGAACGCGCGTCCAATTTTCCGCCCGCAGCGCAAGGTCAACTTGGGCACCGGCGTACGGTTGCAGTATCAACTGCCCGTTTTTCCCCGGCGAAGCGAAGGTCCGGTTTCCGGCCAAATAGGCCATACACCACCGGTACGCTTCGTTCGGATCAGTCCGACAGTTGCGCTGGCGGGTGTTGGACGGACGGCGTTCTTCTGAGGCTAATAAACCAGCCTCCTCGGCAGCCAAAGCGCACTCCCGCTCACGACCGCGGGCTTCCAGGGAAATGTTCTTTCCGATTTCCACGATGTCTGCCTCCAGCCCGCGGCGTGCCTCAAAGTAGCTTTGAACTGCCGTACTCACACGAGCGAGTTGGTGAAACACTCGGAGCTGCACAAATAAGTATTTAAAAATATATTAGACATTTCTATTAAAATAATATATATTATTTAATCGGATTTATAAATTAATATATTTATTTAATAAATTATTAAAGTTATTTTATTTTTATGTACCATATAACGGCGTCCAGCTGCATTGAGCGCGAAGAGGTGTTGGTGCACTGCGGTGTAGTTGCCTGCGTTCTGTAGGCCAGCATCCCACAAATCGTCGTGGCTCATATGGGCCGTAAACATAGTTCGGTTGTCTGCCATTGCGAGCCGGAAGAGTACAAAATAAAAATATACAAAAATAAAAAACCCAGTACAACGCAAACTAAATTTTTTGTGTATCCGTCTTGACCTCAGGGTATTTTGTGTTGCCAGGTAGTTTTATTAATATGTATGTACTGTAGTTAGTATACATGATGTATGTATTGATAGAGTACGTGTACAAAGTATGTATTTATATTAAATACTGTATGGATATTTATGTATTACGTATGTACTGTGTATACTTTATTGATGTATATATTAAGTAGTGTACTGTATACTATGATATGTATACGTATGTAAAGTTAAATTAATACGTATGTACAGATGCTATGTACCGGAAGTGTGTACATGTATATATGCCACCTGCCGGTTGACCTTTAACCCGTATTTATATATGCACCTGGCGGGATTAACCTTTTGACCTCGACCGTTGCGACCGTTGGTCATTTTTTAATTTATTCTATTGTTGTACCTCATTAAATATGTTAATCCCGGCTACTTCTAATGTACTGTCTACTAAGCTTACAAAGCAAACGGTGAAGGGCGCATCTCCTACGACTTTCACAGCTGCAGGCTGCAGCTACTAGCCTACTACCAAGCCAGAGTTGAAGCAATCGTTCGTGAAGCATGCCTGACGATCGGAGGTGACCTCCGTGGCGACTGGTGGGCTGTTCTGGAGGCGATGCTGAAGACATCCGGAAAACAGGAGCTACAGGAACCAATGGACTGGTTGAACTCGAAGACGCAGGTAGCGCTGGAACTGAAGCAGGTCGTCTGCAAGGTAGAATTCGCAATTCGTCTTTACGGATCTTTAGAAAACACTAAGCTCGGATTGTTGCTTGTAGATGTTGTGCGCAATACAGTCGGCTGATCCGCGTCCGTCGGTGCACTATCGCAGCAAGCAGTGGTGCGTAGACGGCCTACAAGACTTGCAACTGGACAATCTATCGCGCATTACCCAGCGCATCCTCGTAGAGCTGTGCAGCAGGCGTTTGTGAAGGCGCAATTTTTTGCCGAAATCGGAAGAAACGCATATTCGACGGTGGACAATTTTCGTTATTTGTTGACTGGGGCAGACGTTTCTTTGAATGGGCTTCATGGCGCTGATCTGATACCAAATAGAAATTGTTGTCACACTATCCGTTTCCGAATATGCACTCGGCGGAAGCCGTCCGCCCTCGACTAGCTTCATGCCCAATAATCGGTCCCAGTGGTAAGAGAACCTTTCCAAGGACCTGCTTTTACGAATTCCAGCGATGATTCGTTTACGATTCAAGGTCGGCTGAAATCAATCGACCAAATCCAGGAGAAAATGTGACTCTATTTGGCAGTGCAGTTCGTACCCTTTACTGTCGCAAATCAGACCATAGTGTGGCAAAATAGCTAAAGGCTGCTTAAACGCAGTGTGCGGCAAAATAGCAAATGGCTATTTTGCCTACCATAATGCGGCAAAATAACTAAAGACTATTTTAACGCAGTGTGCGTCAAAATAGCCTTTTGCTTAAAATTTTTATCGGTTTTGAATTGCTAGCATGATTGTCCAGGTGTATTCCTAGAAGACTCAGATTACTAGAGGCCGCCAGCAACGACTGAAGTCCTCTTACTGCTCGGTATAACTACAGTACATACAGAGGCGCAATAATCTGCAGTAATCAATAAAAACTGTTCGTACGAAGGACGGCTGCAAATGGGAGCAGACCTATTGAGTCATTGTATGACGTACACCGTTCTTCGGCGTATTTAAAGAACATAACTCGCCACCACGTACTCAGTGCCGTTGTTCCGCTGCATATTTTTACTTGCGCAGAGCCTTTACAGCTGAAGCTTGACAGTTTGCTGGTACAAATATAGCATTCGTTGTTTGCGAACAAATTATTGTGCATCTATCCTGTGTATCTCAGGTTGCGAATAATAGTGTTCAGGTCAGTACACGGTGGTGTCCATCCTTACGGCACAGAATCGACGTATCCCATTTTATTGTCAAACGCTATCCCCGGCGCACAGCAGAATGAGTGCATTCGATGTACGCGTTCGCGGCAGCGATCAACGGGTGCGCTACGGGCGTGTCGTGGGCGTGAAAAAGTACGATGGCCTCATCGTCGATTTCTTGGAACCAAACCGGCGACGGGAATATGCGCCTCTCAGCAACGTCTTCTCCCGAGATGCCTGGCCCGTTTACGACGGACGGTCTTCTTTCCACCGCGCAGATCGGTACCTGTCCAGCGTCCCGGTAAAGGTTTTGGTGCCGGAGACGCCGTTTGGTCCGCGGATTTGGCTGGATGGCGAAATGAGCGTTATGGGCCGCGGTACAAATCTCGCGGATTATGGAGCGGCCGTTGTGCGTTACAAGCGTCCGGGTACTGGTTTGACGCTCACGGACTTCCTGCCCATGCAGCATGTTCGGGCTCCCGACGACGACGTTGCGCGACTGGAGAGCGTCGAATGGGACGAGTTTAACGCGTGGAGTGTGCCTCTGGGCGGGCAATTCCCTTCGATGTCCACTAAAGACGCCCGATCTTTCATCAAGCAGCTGAATGCCCATCCTCTGATTCCCAGCTCAGTGTGCATGGTGGACCTGGTCCATGGCGAGTTGAGATATGTCTACCTGGAGCGTATTTTCGAAAATTACGTCGACAATTTCCTAGAGTCGGATACGGTAAGACAGAGGCGTTTTTTCAGTGTTCTGATTCCAAATATTTTGTTCTGTCAACGAAAACTTTGTGAAACGTAATTGGCCGCAATATGCTCGGGAATATATCCAAAACAAACGTTTCACTCCCATTTTGACTGTATTCATTACTTATAGTGTTTTCAGTTTTGTGCACGGTTTTCAGAGAAAAATCGACCGCTTCCATGTGAAGTTGCGCGCCATCATCAGGTCTATTCGTGACGTGGCTCCGGCCACCGACGACTGCACGGCAACGGCGCTCCCGGTGGAATTGTGGCAGGAGGTCTTTTCCCACTTGGACACCGTGGAACACACAATGCTGCTGGCTGTATGTCCCACCTGGAATCGGATTATGGAAGCGCCAGCGCTGCGTTCCATTATCATCATCCGAGACACCAAGCGGGAGTTTCGCGGCTTTCTGTTCTGGGCGACGCTCTTCAAATGTGTGCGCCCCGGCACGCAGCGCGTTGTCATGAAGCATGCTGAATGTACTAACTACGCGATGCTGGTGTGCAATATGATCCAATGTGTGGCTGATCAGCACCCCGGAATCCGACTGCGCACCCTCCATTTCCACAGCGTCAACCTTCGCTTGATGATTCAAGGCGCTGTTGATACAACTCACCATGTCAGTTGTAATCAGCATCCGTCTCATGCTGGGAAAACAAAGCCGGGATCAGCGAGCTATTTCCTGGAGGAGTTCATTGCCGCATTCCGCAGTCTGCCGTGTGATACCGTCCACATTCAGGCGAAATGCGCTGTTTCGTTGCCTTTCCGCTTTGGTGTAAGTAAAGGTGGGGAGATAGATTTCGTCGCTGAGATCGCCATCGACATGGGCACCGTGCGACTGCCCCTCGGTGGCGCTGTGGACTGCGCACTGTGGGATGCGTTGGAGGCGGCGCTGCCGGTACCGAGTGAGCGGGAGCTGTACTGTCTGCGGCAGGGGTTGAACGAAGGCGGAGGTTCTAATCTATCGGCAGCTTACAAGAAAGCCATCTGCACGGTACGAATCGCAGTCATTTTACCGATGCTTCTTCGAAGGCTTCGTTTTGTAGGCACTCTGTGCGCTGTGCTCGACGGATCCGCGTCCTTCGTCAGACTACCGCGCGAAGAAGTGGTGCCTGGATGGTCTGGATGGTTTGCAGTTGGAGAGGTTGTCGCGCATCGCTCTGCATCTTCTCGTTCAGATACAAGAGAGAATTGATGTACATGTAAAGCATTTTCGGTAGGATCCTGCATGGTTCAGATCCTTGTACGGATCATATCGGACACTAATCTGCGTGAGTTGAAATGTTGTCAGTCATGTGCGATTTTTTCCGCACATGTAATAATTATTACGGGTTTCGTGGAGTTATTTTTTTGCAGTACTCTGTACAGTCGCTCTTTCATTTTCATTTCATCTATTTTGATTTTGTTCGCTACTGTTGATCATTCCCTTAACTCAATGCCGCACGATACAAGCTTTGGAAGAATTGTACACAAAATACACTGATTTTGACAGAAAAGTTCAGATTCGGCTGTGCTTTAAAAAAAAATGTTTCAAGGCATAGAAATTTAGGCATACAGTCGAATTTCAGCATACAGTCGAATTTTCATAAAGTCATATTCCCACTATCCCATACGTTTTTGCATTGAGCTGCCCGATAACGACCAACACCGTCGCTAAATTTTATTCAAGTTAGCGGACTATCCTGAGTATGCTAGTCGCTGGTTGTCAAACAGAAAACGAATGCCTTAGTGACTCAGTCGTAATCATCACCGCATATTCTGTTTGCGCAAGAAAAACGTCAGGCACAAACTATACCGTGACGCTCAAATCCAAACACGAAACTGGCGATGCAAAAGAAATTAAGCGCGAGGCGTGAAAGAGAAAGCTAAAGTAAAAACGTACGCGAATAAACTTGGGCAGTGAAAGGAGCACACAGCGCTGAATTAGGCTAAATACGAGAAATTATCGCGCGGTGCCAAATAAACGCCGAGTGGAATCTTGCAGGTCATTGCAGATTACAAAGAACGGCACTTCCATTTAGCCATATCCTCGCGTAGTTGCACGAGGGCGTGCAGGGTAATACGCGACAATTTCTCCAAATGCACACTGCCCAAGCCGTCCAGGCACCACTTCTTGTCGCGGTTATGCGACGACGGACGCGGATCAGTGGAGTGCAGCGCGCACATAGCCTACAAAACCAGAACTTTCAGAGCATTACCGAACCAGCGTAAGCAAGCTGTCGCTTTTACCGTGCAGACGGCGGTCCACGCTTCCTTCTCTTTCCTGGAATCCTCGCGACCTTCCAGCCACTGGAGTAACTTGCGC